CTTGTAGGAAATCGTATCTAAGAATGCTGCTTTACCGGAGAGTGAGCTTCCAAAGTTTAGATAATTCTACATTTCTTGGGATTTCCTGTGTGTTCGGTTCCCTGCCTGCCAATAAGGAACTGTAACAAATATCCTAAAGTGGACTGATCAGTTAGTAGGTCCTCTGCCACAAGGCAGCTCTGTAGAACTTGAAGACCCAATTCTGCTGTTCTCTGGAGCTTGAAGTTTTAACACAGGGTTAGAAACATCTAATTTGGCGAAAGGGCCAAGAAAATCGTGATTCCATACATGGGCTTTTTTGTTTAGAGAAATTATACCCAAAGGAATTGATAAGTACCCCATCTAGGAGGAAAAAAACCCAAGTCATCTGGGTAGTGTTTGAGAAGTCTATCCTGTCGGGAAGAGGGATGTAACATCCAGTGACAGTTATAACCAACCAAACATTTCTGCACTGCCAAATAATTCAGTCAGAAGGAGCACTTGTCTTTTGTTAACTTCAAAATCAAACACGTCTCTGAGAGGCAGAAATTGTTAAAAAGGCCCTGATATCTGACTCTTCATAATGCCTGTAAGTCAATTTCTGGCCCAGTAAGTCTATCACCAGATAATCTAGCCTGCAACCCTGTTCTCAGAGAGCAGTGACCTCTGGCATCAATGCTATGCTGAGCTCCAAATAGCCAAGGGTCAGTCCTGGACATGTGTATCAACACCATGTGCACCCTAACAGGAGCACTGGGCTTTATTCTACAGCTGTGTTATATTGCCTTCAGCAGGGCACAGGTACATGCTCAGGAAACCCCCTCCCCTTCTTCTACCCCATCATAGTTCCATCATATGTCACTGAGTATCATGTGACCTTGGTTTCTTCAAGAGGCATCAAACATGCTACCTCCTCTGAAGTAGGGACTGGTACTAATAACTGGTTCTCACATTTCCATTACCAACCTCAGAGGGCAGGTACTGTGATTACATACATTGGCCCTCACCTTAGGGCTCTGGTTCTACACAGCTGTGGTTGAATCACTCATGAAAAGGGACCTTTTAAACCAAAATTTAGAATGTCTGAAACTGACTCCTTTCTTGAGTGCCTCTTTCAGTGTTACTATCTTCCAGATGAATTTTCTTGAAACTTAAGCCCTATGTATCATTTCAAGAAGGTTTTCTTTTCAAATTATGATCTATTTGTCTTCAATTCACCATAAAAATCCAAACCAAATGTACAAAAAGACAATACAGTGATATCTTGGAAGGTATGCCTTGTACTAAGAAAAAGACTAGCTAGGTCATTTTTCTGCCAATAATACAGTTCTGTTACAATGAGTTCCTTTGTTTCCAACTAGAACAGCCAGTTCTACAGCAATTCCTGCACACTCCAAAACTTTCTTGTGTTCTTAGTTCTACCACAATCAATGAATACATCACTAGGCATAGCCAGCCTGGCCTCCTAGCCCAACTTGAGCTGGCAATTAGGAAAGATATTCCCTAGTTTGGCACTCCTTAAGATACCTCCTGTCAATCTAATCTTGTAGAATTTTGAATTTTTCTTTTAATTGTTTTCTTTGGTCAACTTTATTATATTCTAAAGCTTCTTTGGAGCCTTGCGGTAATCCCTCATTCCTTAAGGATAAAGCTTTCCACCCAGCTCCTTTCTCTACACAGTATCTGTAACAGACTAGGGAATTATACTAAATATGGTCCCCACTGAAATCAGGAAAAATGCTTGTACCTGGGAAAATGTTTGCAGTTCAATTCTAAGGATAGGATCTTGGCACCATATGTATATGTGGAACAAACTGTACCTTAACTGTGGGTGCATTTTACCACTGGCATATGTTGCAATATCAACTTTCTATTCCAAAAGGAAGTTGCCTCCAAAACCATGGAAAACATTAAAACATCTCTGGCCTACAGCCACTGCACACCTCACATACCTAATAAGACACAGTTGGCACGTTTCTTCAGACCTGACATATTTCTTGTCTTCTATCCTCCTGTCTTCATTGCCAGCCTTTCCCTCCACTTCCAAACTTGATCTATCCCATGGACTTTGGCTTGAATTAGCCCTTGGAAGCTATTCTGGTTCCTTACTTTATACTACCTGGGGAAACTCTCTAGAATATTCAAACTGCACCAGTACTGATCTGGAGTGGCAACAGACTCTGTCTTTGACAAATGTGACAGTATTTGTTGATTAAAACAACAAAAACACCTGGGAAAGAGAGATAAGATGTCTCTAAAACCAGTATAGTAATGATGGTTGGCTCATTGATAAGGTTACTGTGAAAGGCCACTTTTTAAGGCCTTATGTGCTGTTTTAAAATATGAACTTTTAGTACTTTGAATAACAGCACTCAAAAGCATCTTTTAAAGTCGTCTTAGGAGTATATATTCAATAAGACCACTATAATTTAACACTGCCATTTCGATTTAATGATCCTATTCTTATTAATTAAACTAATTTTAGTTGGGAACTGATTTAAATAACTCATGGAGGATAACTTTAATATACCTGTTTAATATTAGTAATTTCCTAGCAAGAATCGATTCTGGTACTTTTGTTGAAAGGTTGGACTGTTTTAATTAAATTATAAAATCCTAATGGAAAGGATTTTGACTTCCATCATATTTTTCTTTGATCTGTAAATTATACTAATTTACTTACTGTGAAAACAGAAAGTCACATTAAGAGTGATTTTTAAGTTGAAAAATAATCCTTTTAGTCCATGAAGGCAGTATGAAAATGTTTTTTCTACATATTCATTCACTTGTACATATTAAATATATGCTAGTTGAATAATTCAATCAAAGTTGGCTTATTCATATAAGTAAAATGTTTTCTGTGACATGTTTTAAATTAATGGGGGAAATAAAAAGTAAAACTAAATTAAAAATATGCATTCACTAGACTCTCACTACAACACTATTTGCAAGAATAGAAGTCAGTGTAATCTGTACACATCTTAGAGTTTACCAAAGGCATTCAGTTCCCTACATATAAAAGCACCTTGACATGAGGTGGTTCTCCTTATGCAGTCATCTCTGGTGCTTCCATTGTTTGCCACCCTTCCCCCTAATAATATGTAAAATACTAGACAAGTCTGCCCCTAAATTTCTTAGGGCCACAAGCAAGGATACAAATGGTGGCGGGCATAACAAGACTAAATATTTAACAGTTACAACCTAAGATAAGAAACCATTAAGTAAAATGATTTCTATATTCCCATCTTGAAAAATATGCATTGGTAATGCGCTAGAAGGCTAGGTCTGAATTTAGAATTTCAGACTCTTTAAATTTCTGGTTGGGAACTTGGCACTGTGTGAAGTGTTGCCCCTGTAGCCCTTGATCTGCCCCTCTTCTCTCTCAAATCTAGCTTTATTCTGCATTGAAAGTAGCCTATCATTTACTGCATGGACACTCCTGCCCTGCATGTCCAACCTCTGTGTACTTCTCTTTCTCCTAGGTTTTGGCATACGAGTGGCACAGTCTACCCACAGGATGGCCCTGAATGTATTTTGGGGATGTTTGGGCAGAGAATTCTGGAGATTTAAGACTATGGATAGGCTTGCCCTATGGATCCCCTGGCTGTGGGGAGGGCCAGAGCAGGGTAGGAACTCTTCTCACCCCTGGAAGATAGTCTTTAATGGTGATTGAGAGAGTGCAGAGTCAAACTCACACAGGCCTGAATTCTGGTTCCATTACTTATTAGTGAAGAGATCTTGAAATAGTTATTCAATGTTGTTTAATTAGTTGGCTTACCTATAAAATGGAAATTATCAGAGTACATACTTCAGAGGGTTGTGGGCATTAACTGATATATTTTCATACCACATGTACAGAAGGACATACAGAAAAATACTTCACAAATGTTTACCATTGTTATTCTTTTAACTCCAGAAGCCAAAACAGTGCCTGACACAAAGCTGTAGGTGCTCTAAGAAAATATGAATGAATAATGATTAAATGGATTAGAATAGTTTCTCTTTTCATTGCTTTTCTTAGTATTTTGTTAAAATGACTACAAATTTCAGTTTGTATAATCTAAATATAAATCCATTTTAAAATACACAGTGGTAAAGGATCATGATTACTTTTTATACTTAATTATCAACGATGAAAATAATAATTATCAGAGAAATCTGAAGGCAAAACAAATTTGTAAAAAGTAGACTAAAAAACACTAAGCCTCCATTTTGATCTTCACTAAAGATTTGCCTATAAGGTCAAGAGACTGCTTTTTGGAGTGGACTGGAAAGCAGAGACAAGTGTCTTTTATGGTGTTAAACTTTGTATGGTAGAACACACTTTTTAAAGAAAACTGCATTTCTTAAAGTTCAAATTCTAGTGAGGGTTAGAGCTGAATAGGGCTTATTTGCTTAGCTTCCCAGTTTTAAACTGATGTCCTCACCTCATTTATTGAGTCATTTACTTCAAATAATTTATTAGGACCTATTGTGTTCTAGGCATTGGAGACACAGAACCAACAGGCAGTTTCTCCTCTCAAGGAGGTCACGGGTGGGTATGGAGACAGGACATGAACAAGGAGTCAGAGTGTTAGGCATGGGATGCTCTCGAAGGGATTTGTATACCGTGTAGAGGAGCCTGCAGACAATGGGAGCCATGGAAGATACTGAGTAGGGAGGTAAAATGTGGACAAAGGTTAGACATGATGGAAACTGGTTAGGAAGCTCATAGAATGAAAGATATTTGAAGTTTTCTCTGTCCTAATGGCATTGTATTAAAAGGAGGGGACAGATTTGAGAAACCATTATAGACAAAGAGTTGATGTTAAGAAACAAAAATCTCCATTTTCGTTTAATCTTCTTACCTAGTATCACCCACTTATTTATCATCTTGTCATCCTCCCTTCACTACCTTACAGCTCTTTTCTTCCTAGCCATAAGTGAGAATTTGATCACCTTTAATAGCAAAGAAGAAAAATATTCCTATTACTGTTATCAGCTTGGAAATCCTAACATATCTTTCCCCCTTGTTTTTCTAGGAAAACGTAAACTATAAGAAAGATTGTGAAATGCCTTAAGTGGACCACAGAAATAAAAAACTTAAGAAGTTTAATGTCATATTATTAGAATGGCCTGCTCTGACTATCTTATATATATAATAGCAGCCTGTCCCAGTCCCTCTCAGGTCAGTTCTCTCACTCTGCTTTATTTCTTCTTCTTTTCATCATATATATAGATACATATATACATATATATTTGATGTATATCATATATGTTATAAAATATACATGATGTTATATATCATATTTTATCATATATATAATATACACCATACATATATATATACATATATACACATGCATACATACATATATTTGTCCTCTTTAATTAGATTGTAAGTGTCATGTGAGTGGGGACTTTGATTTGCTCTCTGCCATATGACCAGTGCTTAGACAGAGCATCAAACTTCTGCCTGAAGTGACACAATCCCTTGTGCTCTCTGGATAGATCCCACAAATAAAAGTGGCAAGAAGAAGGGCCATTTTGCCAACAATGAGGTGGTGACCAGAGAATACACCATTGGCATTCATAAGTGCATCCATAGAGTGGGCTTTAGAAATGTGCTCCTCAGGCACTCAAAAAATTTGCCATGAAGGAGAAGGGAACTCCAGATGTGCACATTGACACCAGACTCAACTGATCTGTCTGGGCCAAAGGAATAAGCAATGTCCTATACTGTACCCATGTGTAGTTGTTCAGAAAACATGAGGGTGGACATTCACTAAACATGTTCTATACGTTGGTTACCTACATAATTGTCACACTTTCAAAAATCTACAGACAGTCAGTATGGATGAGAACTAACTACTGATTGTCAAATAAAGTTATAAAACTGCAAAACACACACACACACAAACAGCAAAAAGTTCTGCCTGAAGGAAGCATAGCAGTATACACCTTTAGCCTAGCATATACTGGAAATGCCATGCTCTAAATGACCAATATTGCTAGACATGGCTATTCACTGCAAATATTTAACAGCCAGGGCAACACTTACTTTATTAAAAATGTATGGAGAAGAAATACTCTGAATATATTAAACAATATAGAATATCAAGCTATAATAGAGTGGCTCCAAGCAGCTAGGAATGCGGTGAGCCCTATGTTGATCAGTAGTCTGACTTGTGTACTATAACTTTGTCCCTTTGAACACTTTTGACTGAACTGGTTACCAGCTACTTAGCAGGTCAGTTGCTTTCTTTTTCTTTCTTGCTCATAACCACAAGTCATACACATTTATATAACACACTGGAAATCCTGTGGGAGGCAGAGTTACATTCCGGGTTATTTCCATAAAGCCACGTGTGTTCTCTCTCTTTCTCATTCCCATATGAAAACAACCATCGTGAGGTATAATTAAGATGAGTTAAGAGTATGTGGGGGCTTCAACAGGAGGTATGCTTTGACCATGCCTTCAACTCACAAATCTTTATCCTGCCCTCTGCAGTTACTCTGTGAGGGCAACAATGTTACAGGGCAGGGCCCGGGAATCTCCAGGGAAGGACTGCGTGAAGGTCGTCTTCTCTCTCACAGTCACACTGAATGTTTGTTAGAACAACTTCCAGAAAATTTTTGAAGAAAATATGAGGCAACATAATAGTGTTCAAATCCCATCTTTCCTCCTTACTAGCTAGGTGACTTTGAGCAAGTTACTAATCTCTTCTGTGCTTCAGTTTCCTCATTTCTAAAACAGGGATAATAATTCTACCTATCTCCTAGTGTTAGTATGAAGATGAAATCGCTATGGTAAAGCATTCAGATCAGTGCATGGCACAGAGTGACAGCTACCCAACTGTTTGTTAAAATACATGAGCATTACACTTTCTTTCCACTACATATAGAAGCCATGCTTATATGACATCTTTAGGATATAATTAGAATAGTTACATTTTTAGAGATTAATAATTAGGCCATCTACTTAAAAAGCTCAGTATTTAATTGTTCAACTTAATAAAATGCAATATGAATCAACATAAAATGTTATTTTTTCTATGGCTTATTTTATTTTATAATCAATATATAGCTTACAAAATATATTTCATATATAATTGGAGAAGATACATAAGGCCTCACAGTCCTCATGCTGGCAAAACTCCTCTAAATGTGTAGACGTGGGCTGCAACGGGGACTAGAGTTTTGAGGACCAAGAAGGGCTGAGCACCTACAATACAGGATTGGTTATGAACATTGCTAGGTTATTCAATAAACATATTAAAAAACTATTTCCTGATGTCAATTTGGTTAAATAATATTACAAGTAATACAATTTTTATATCAGTTACTCACTGAGACTTATCAAACCAGCAAAAAGACATCATTTAAATAACTGAGAATGCTATACAACAGGCTCTTTCGAGGAGGATGATTTGAGCATCTTTGCTTATAATGTCCAAACAAGAGAAAGACTGTATCACAAGGTAAATAGTTTATTACTTTTAAAGAAAACTGAATGGTCTCTGCATAGGATCAGAATTTGTTAAAGTTTGAAGAACCTTAGATCAAAACACTACCCTCTGACAACCCATCTAGTGATCAATAAAATGGCACTGGCAGGGTGAACAAAGTGAGGAATTTATTACCAAACTATTTATACCTGGGTAAATCAAATTTAACAGGTGAGGCAGAAAACGCTCTAAACTATTAAACAAAGACCAGATTATCTCAAATATTTTATTTGCTTTGAGGAAGGTTCATTCAAAATGGAGTACGGGAAAATTGCAAAGGTAATATAGTGTTTCTATATCATGATATTACTCATGTCTGATAAAAAATAAAATTGGAATGCTAACTGATTATTATATTTATCTTATTAATTGTCTGTATTCAATCCTATTAAAAATGTCCCTTTCTCTTCTAAACTGTATCCCTTGACTTCCTCTGGTTTATTAAAATTATTAACTAATTTTGTTTTCAGTCTAATCAAGGCTTAATTAGCTTAGCAGGTGTATATATTCATGAATAAATAATATATCCTTAAAACTTATACATTTAAAAAATTATCAGCTGGTAAAATTATTCTGAGAACCTTTCTATCTGGTCAGTCCTCATATTTTTTATAGTCCTATATATGGTTCTACCACATGAGGATATACTATACTTTTCCAAAAAAAGAGGTTACAGGATTAAGTCAATTTTTATCAAATATGAATGGACAAAAAAAAGAGGAAAATTGGCTTATTAGGCAAACCTTTTTTTTTTTTTTTTTTGCATGCTTATATACTACATGTAGGAATACCTTTATTATTTTTTCTTCTGGAAGAAGATTCTGTTATTTTCTAATAAATATAATAGAACTTAATTCTTCAGTTCATCCATTTGTTGCAAAGAGAAGAGAGACTGATAGAAAATAAATGAAGCCCTGTCTTGGAATGAACTGGGAATCAATCTGATGACAAAATCAACAAGAAATTTACTTATTCTTTCTTTCGTTCATTCAACAAATGTGTACTGAGCACCTTTTACAGAGCTGGCATTCGATAGTTAGAAAGAGAACAAAGTACCTTCTGTCATGAGCTGTCATCTAGTTGCTAGGTTGGGAGAAGAGAGAAGAGCAGTAAACAAACAAATACATAATAGATCAGGGATGCTAAGGTACATAAGAGAAAAAGGTAACTGGGGTAAGTAGGCTACACAGTGTTGATAAGGAGGACAGAAACAACCTCTCTGATAAGATGATATTTGAATAGACATCTGGAAGAAGTGAAGGAGAGGGAATCAACAAAATATCTCAGGGAAGCACATTCCAGGCAGAGAAACAGTGAGTTTAAGATTGGAGGTAGGATCATGCTTGGTGCATCCAAGGTATAGCAAGGACCAGTGTTGCTGGAGCAAAGTGAGAGAGGGAAAGAGGGTAAGGAGATAAGGTCAGGAAGTCAGCTGGATCTTGGAAGCCATGTAAAGACTTGACCTTTGATCTCAGACAGATGAAAAGCCATGTAGAGTTCTGAGTGGAGGGGTGACAGAACCTGAGGAACATAGTCTGGCTGCACCATGGAGCAGAGAAGCCAGTTCAGTAGGCATTCAAGAGTTCAAGCAAAAATGGCATAGACCAGAGTGGTGGCAGTGGAGGTGGTAAACTGATTGTGGAATGTGAGATAACAGAGAAATCAAGGATGCTGCCAAAATGTTACTCTGAACTACTAAAAGACTGAGTTATCACTTACTGAGATGAGGATGAGTGTGAAAGGAACAAGCTTAAGGGAGAAAATTTGAAGTTTGGTTTTGAATATGTTAGGGTTGATTTTGCCTTTAGTCATACAATGGAGATGTTGAAGAGGCAGTTTGCTATACATTATAGAGATTAGATAAGAGGTCAGGACTGGGGTTGTCAGCATAGAATGGTATTTAAGACCTAAGACTGGATCAGTCCACCTGATGACTCAGTATATATCCAGAAGAGAAAGTCTGAGGACTGAGCCACTCCTACATTTGAAGGTTGGGACATGAGGAAGAACCAACATCACAGATGCAAAAGGGGCTTAAACCAGAGAATGTGGGTCCAGGAAGCCAAGGAAAAAAGTGTTTCGAACAGTGTTAACTCACTGACAGATGATACGTCAAGCAGGATGAAGACTATGAACTATAGGCTATTGGATTTGGCAATAGGGAGGTCACTGTGATCTTAACAGAGTGGTACAAGTGCAGAGGTGGTAAAGAAAGCCTGACTTCAGTGAAATCAAAGAGAAGGTGAGGAAGGTTGGAGACAGCACAGATGGACAACTCTTTCAAGGTTTTTGCTATAAAGGAGAGTGAGAAATAGAAGAAGAAAGATATTACAGCATGCATGGATGTGCATATGCTGTAAATGACCCATTAGAGAGGAGAAAAACCGATGACTCAATAGACAAGGGGAGCACTCCTTAAAACGAAACTCAAACAAGGTATATACCTGCTGTGATTCCATCGGGATAAAGTAATTAAAGTTTGTCTGGGGAAGTAGATTTATTCCTGTTATTATTTCTTTCTATTCATGTTATTTCTTCTTCTTCATATACATGCGTACCAAAAAGCTGTTACATATGCATACTTTCAAGAAAAATATTTTTAATGGAGCCATAGTAGAACTGTTGAAAAGTAAATGGTTGAGCATGTCTGTCTTTGCTTGCCTCCTTCACTTCTGCATTCCTCCCTTTAAAGATAGTGAACATTCTTGTGGCCCTAACTTTCAGCTAAAATAATTCATGTTGTGGGATTAACACGCATGACAGTGTGTTTCTCCTCCAGTAGTGTTTTGATACCAAAATATTTTAGGATAAAATGATATGAGAGATTTGCTTCAAAATAATCTAGTTGGAAGGAGATGAACTGGGTAGGGGAAGAGATGCAAGTTGGCCTTGAGCTGATAGTTGACGAAGCTGGGTGATAGGTATATGGTGATTCCTTATACCCTTGTCTCTGATTCTGTATGTGTTTGAAAATTTCCATAATATAGAGTTAAAAGTTAAAAGAAACATAGTGTCAATATCATGCTTAATCCAAAGAAATCCATTAAAAGGTGAAATTTCAGATAATTTGGTAACAGGTGAAGGAACTATTTGGGGGCACAAAAATTTCTCTGAAATTTTTCAATTCTTATCAGCTATTGTGCTTTCATCTACAACACAAACATAGACTTTTCATATACGGCACCAACTTTTTTATCAAAGTGTCTCAGTTGCTTTAAGATAGAATTATTTTGTATGCTTATCGTGCAAATAATTTGGAAGACTGGATTCTTAAAAATGAAGCCTTGGTTCTCTCTTTAGGTAAGCATAAAGAAACCTGAAAATACATGCTATGAAATACTTCTGAGGTAAAGTAATACCACAGTTACAAAATGATGCTAATTTAGTTGATTGTTATTTAAAAGAATAAATAGTTGATTATGCACAAAAGGTGAAATTTCATTGCAATAATATTTACCACTTTTTTAAAAGAAATTTGTCACTCATATTGCTATATAAAAATGCAGGTAAAAGAAATTTTAATCTTTCAAAACTAGTAAACATAGAAAGAACAGTGTTGCTACATTAACTCTTCAAATATTAACCACTAGGTATTCTTTAGTGTTTTCCAGTTACTCATTAACCATTTTATAGTGTTATTGTTCCTCTCATTGTCGGTAATTTCCACCAGGGAAAGTTGAAAAACAAACTCCAATAATGTTTTTCTAGATCAGAAAAATGTTCAGGTTTTATTAATAACATCTCCCTTGCTCACTATATATTCATGATTAAGAATCCACTAAGAATTGGGGACCTATAAATTCTACTCAAAAATTAAACCCAAAGTTATGTTGTTGTGCAGTTTATGGTTTCTTTTGTATAGCTTTATTGCCCTCAACATTTCCTTGGTGTAAACTACTGAGCGAGGGAACAAGATTTCTTTTGTAACTGATACCTAAATTTCTCTTCTGCTTTAAGCATCTAATTTGCACTGTGAAGACATATAATTTGAGACTTGTAGCTATATCATGAAAGTACAACAGTTTATGCTGATCTCTAATTTTCTGAGTTGCACTGGCTATAATTTAAATTTTTTGCATGTTTTTAACTGCAACGCAAACCAGTGTACATCAGAAACCTTTGTATATTGACAGAGACTGGGAAAAGGATGCCTTGTTCTAATTTTGGATAAGCATTCCCTTTTCACAACTGCAGGTGCAAGGGAGCCCATTCATAATATTTGCTTCAAATCAGTTATAGTCACTGGATAGAAATACAATGCTATTACATGAGAACTTGACTAATCTTTACAAGCACAATGAATACTAAAAAATTATTACTATTATTAGCAAATTCTAGAGGCAAGTAGGATTTTTTCCTTTGCCTATGTATTGGGGACAAAATGTATTCTGTTGGCACAAGTTTCGGTCATTTTACTATTGTATATGTGTTTACTAAATCTAGAAAAATACTTTGTTCACTTATTAACACAGGATGGAATTATGCTCAGTGGAAAATCTGCTGCAACAAATGGGTGTTCCACTTAAGAGAATCAATAACGAATGTTACTTTTTCCTTTGCCTTGTTTCACTTATTTTGAAATCAACATACAAGTCAAAAAATAACCACAAGATAAAAATTTACTCTGATTGCTCTCATTTCACATAACTGGGTGAAGCTACTTTTGAAACAAATATTAGACAACTATATATACAAAAAATACGTGAAACTAACTGGATGTTTCCATTATAAAGCCTTATTTATAAAGTTATGACTTGACCATTTTAATCAGCTTCAGGCAGAAACTTGACACATCAATTCAAAGCTAGGAGAAAATGTTAGCCTACAAACAGTTACAGCAATTCTTCAACGGGAGGTCAGAGAAAGGCTCTAATAGTATGGCAATAGTCATTGCGTTGGCAAAAACAAATGTATGACCTATATTTAAAACCGTTAAGAACTCATCCTAAATTGATGATTATTGCTATTACTTACTGTATGCTTTACTGTTTGCTAACAATCCCATACTGCCACCTTATATTTGCATATAATTCAGAAGAGCCAAAACACCTTTTCATACGCTATTTGACCTGAGTTATTCTTTGTGATTTAGGCAGGTATTATTATCCTCATTTGTAATATGAGGACAATATACTTTAAAATAAGTATGCTCTCCAAATCAAGGTAATTCTGACAGAAGTGGCTTGTCTGGACTGAAAGCCGTCAATCTTGGTACAGGGTTCTGTTTCAGGGTCTCAGTCTCAGGGATTGATCTCACTGGGGGATCAATTAGCTAGGAATTTTTTTTTAAGCTGAAAAAATGGTGATTTAAAGTAAGGATATTCCTTAAATGTTTTTAATTCATTCAGGCCGAGCACTGTGATAGAAGAAACTTGTATACTGCCATCCTTTTCTTTCATAGTTTTCTTCAAAAAACAGAAGACTCACTCCCATTATAGCGATTTATCTTCAGCCTTGAATCAAATGCAAGCTAGTGATTAATGGACCCACATGCTAGAAAGATGGGAAGCATCTTCAAGGATATCTTCAAGGAGGATGCCTTCAAGGATGGAGCAGAACCCCTAAATTGGCTTCTGGAAATACTCTTCCAAATTTCCATTCTCGTATTGCTTCCCCAACAACCGGGAGCAACACGCAGCGTCTCCTTGTATAAGTAGTTATTGCTGTCACTCCGGAGCGGAAATGCTTGACACCTGGCCTCCCTCAGGCCGCCTGCAATGGAGGACGCTGTCACACACCCGCCCTCACGAAGTTCTCAAGGCAGATGGAGGCTGACACCGGGCCACTTACCTGGCCGGGATGCTCTTTGTGACAGCCCAAAACCTTTGGGGAAGAGAAGAAAACAAAAGAAAACAAAACAACTTACCACTTTGGCCCAGTCCAAGAACAACTGAAAACACCCAGGCCGCCCGAAGGAATGGGGCAGGACCTGGCCGGCAGTTTTGCAGGCAGACAAATGCGGCAGTAAAAAAAGCCAGGGTCGAGCGGCACATAATGCAAAGCAGCCCGCACCGCGCCCGCTGCCTGGCTGCTATCCGGATGCGCGCTCGCGCCTCCCGGGCGCACCTCGGTCCCCGCGGGCCAAGTGTCGCTAGGACCTTTCCCGCAGGCCCGGCAGGCGGACCCCGCGGCTCGGAGCAAGCGGTACAGGTACGCTGGCTCGGGCACCGCTCGGCATCTCAGGGCCCCCGCGGCCCTCCCAGCTCGGCACGGCGGGTCCCGCGACCGCCGCGAGAAGCACCTCCTCCGACGGCCAATGGCCCGGGGCGGCGACTCGAGCGAAGTCTCCGCAGTCCGCTCTGGGACAAAGAAAAGAGCTTTTGTTTCTCTCCAGCCGATGGGGCTTCTGCTGCATAAATCAGCTTAGCGAAGAGCCAAACACAATCAAACCCAAACAAAGCCTGAAGCTGGGGGGAAAAACCAGCCTAATGTACATTCACTGGGTGATGCTGCATCTGTGGGAGGGGACGCCAGCGAGGCCGAAAGGGAAAAAAGTCGATGGCGCATCAATCAGCGGGAGCTTCTTCCACAGGTGGTCAGGGAGGCCAACTCCATTTAGTTGCAGCTTTGCAACCTCGTCAGCTGAGCAGCAGGCAAAATCGAAGCGGCAGCGTCCTGGCTGGCGAGGGAGGAAGCTCGGGGTGCCAGCAGCCGGGGTAGGAGGCTCCAGGAGCGCCCTAGAAGCCCCCGCCGGCGCCCGCGGACACAGAGCGAGGCATCGCAGCTCCCTGCTTGGCCGGGAGTGGAGCGCACGGCCGCGAGCGCAGGAGAGGAGGTTCCGCGGGGGTGCAGGAGGCCGGCCTCGCGGGCGGGAGCTTCGTGCTCTCGCCTTTTGGCCCCAGTGTGAGGCTCAGGCGTCCCGCCGTCCAGAACCTGGGCAGCTGGCGCGCACTGGGGTGCACCCAGCGAGGATGCGAGGGAGACGAGGCTCGTGAGGGGCGGGGGAGGAGTGGTCCTGCCCCGGCCCACGGGGTTGGCTCCCAATGTGCCGATAGCTGTGCGCTCTTGGGGCCGCGAGTTGCTAGGAAACCGCCCCACGCTACCGAGCGCCTCGCCCCGGCCTCCAGCAGGCGCGGCGGCTCCGGCGGCAGCAGCAGCAACAGCTCGAAGCAGCGTGGGCGGGACATTGGTGAGGCATGAAGTCACTGCGGCCCACACTCGCTCTTTGTTTTGCTCACTCCAGCTCTTTTTCTCCCCCTTAGCTCTGATAGTTGCCATTCCCATCGTTCACAAGAACTCCTGATGCATAGCCGCGCACTAGGAATCGCACGCCCTGTTCCCTTTCCCCGTCCTCCCCGAATCCCTGCACCCCAACGCTCGCCTAGCGGGTACGGAGTCCTGCTCAGCACGAGTGGCAGCTGCGCGCAGACCCCAGCCTCTCATCCGGGCCGCTGCGCGCTCCTTTGTTTGGAGATACTCACTGCTCGGCAGCTGCCGAACACAAAGTGGAGTCCAGAGGCCTCTCCCCGCCCCCAACACCCTCGGCTCGCTGGTGCGCACTGCCTATTTTGCTTGCAGAGTTAGGAGCTTACCCTTTGCCCCACCCCAAGGCCGTCCGGCGTCTCCCCAACCCCTGGAGAGTTGGGCCGGTCCGTGGGGGCTGTACCCGGAGGTGCTGGCCGAAATTTCTCGCTGCTTTTCTCGACTCGTAGCCTCAGCCCTGGGTTGGATAGCCTCCTCTTCCCAGAGTCTGTTGGTGGTGGCTCAGGGCTTTTGCTAGTTACGGTGGGTCTTTTGACCTTAAGCGTCACCTTCCCAATAAACGGAACAAAGAAGTTAGAAAGGGCAGTGAAGTAGGAGAGAGAAGCTAAGGAGAGGAGGTGGGAGGGCATTTCTGCCTGCTTGCAGCTCAGAAGTTTAGGTGCCATTGGGGAGGTGGTGTTTTTCTGGGCAACCGTCAGGGAAGCCGCACGGCTCCTTGGGTCCTGTCACTACCACGCTAGGCGGAAGGAGGGAACCCAGTCCCCCGGATTGAAAACAAGGCAGTTTCCAATGTGAGACGCAGGGTGATGGTTCTCTTTTTTCCTCTAGGGGCAGGAGTGGCTCTCCTTGGTAAAGTCTGACCTCTCATTTTTCGCTAGCAGCCTGCTCGACCTCTTCCATAGAGCACCCGCCTCTCACAGGCATCAAAGGAGTCCAGCCAGGTCAAGGTGAAATATGCGGGAGTTTCCCTCCTTCTTATTTGTTTAATAGTTTCCATCTCCATATTTGGGGTAACAAAACAAGTAGGAGGCTTTCTCTCTTTTTTCTTTCTGTTTTCTAATTGTTCACTGAGTGAATGGAAAGTACCTGGTTAATAAACCACAACATTGAAAACTCCCCCTTTTCAGGTATGGACTGCACATTGAGGCCCACAGAATTAACCAAGCAAACCGGGAACTCAGTTGGAAAATTACAAGTGCCCTGGATCTGTAAAGCAGGTCTTTTTGAGAGAACAAATGAATGATCCAAACTTGAAAAACTGATATTTGTAAACACCATTCCACTATAGGCAATGTACTCTAAATAGGTAGAATTAAATCTAGCTCAGCTTCATTATTTATTTTCTTTCCTTAGTTCCAAATTTGAACAGCTGTAGTTTTGCTTTCGGTGGTCGTAAAGGAAGGGCCTGCAAAGTGCCTGGGATGGGGATGAGGACTTGACATTTGAACACAAAAGGGACATATTCAAGCTCTAATTAGTGACTCTTCAGTGGGGCAACAGGGGTATTTTCCAGAGATTATTTCACAGTCCTGAGGAATGCAGCCCCCCTTGAGACAATGCAGTGCCACAATAAAGAAAAAAGTCAATCCATAATTCCTGTAAGGATGTGTAAGTGCACTCTGCATTGTAAAGTGACTATCGCATCAGAGTTCCATGACATTTTTTAATCTAACACTTGATGTTGGAAATGTAAGTGGCAATTACAGTATTAAATAAAAGTTTATGCAAATAGGTGTAATTTTATGAAATTGATGAGGTATGCACTAATTTTTTAACTCTATGTTGTTAGATGTCAATTTATTCTATATATTAAGTCAAAACAACTGTGTAGCAAGAAGAAGAAAAGAAAGCTTGTGAATCTGTTACAGGAAATTTTGAAGCCCTTTAGAAAGAAAGACTTCCACGTTTTATTATGTGAAGCTCATGCAAATGTAGGTCAGATGCCAGTTTTATGGAGTTGTTGAAGAATAAGCACAGTGCCATTTATCACCACTTCCCAGTTGTAAAGAGGTTATAATTCTGGTTATCAAAATAAAATAAGACAGAATATTCCAGCTGTGACACCATGATCCTTGCAAGTTATTTTCAAGCAAGTTATCTGTGTGTTTTGGGCTATAAAAATAAAAATGAATTCTCCTGAGCCTGCAAATAATCGGTAGGGTTTTCTTACAATAAATATAACTAGTGGGGCCTGACCTGGTGGTGCAGTGGTTAAGTTCGCACTTTCTGCTTCTCAATTGACCGGGGTTCGCTGGTTCAGATCCCGGGTGCAGACATGGCACCGCTTGGCAAACGCCATGCTGTGGTAGGCATCCCACGTATAAAGTAGAGGAAGATGGGCATGGATGTTAGCTCAGGACCAGTCTTCCTCAGCAAAAAGAGGAGGATTGGCAGTAGTTAGTTCAGGGCTAATCTTCCTCAAAAAAAAAAAAATCTATCTATCTATCTGTAACTAGTGGCCCAGAAACAAAAAGTTTGCTTGTTTCCAATTAATGTTATTGGTCACCACAACTCATCCTTTTTCTTGTAGGAAAATGTATGGGATATTGTGAAGAAATGCAGTGTTGTTATCTTCATCATATTGCCTAAAGAGTTCTAACAGAGAAAAAGGTACTCCAGAAGATGGTGAATTGATTAATTCCTGTTTCTATCATCTTCTGCTGTCTTGCTTTGAAATTTATGACAGCTAATTTTTCATCATTTATGGTAATGAGAGCAAATGAAATTTACAGATAGTTTAAAAATATTTTAGCTATTCATTCCAGCCATCCTATCATCAGATTCTTTTAGTTGCTAAGTCATAAAATTAGATGAATTGAGTTTCTTCCCTACTCCTTTAACCTTGATTTCTCACTAACTCAGTTTAGTTAGCAGGCAGTTAGCAGGAGTGAGAGAGACATCTGAGAGACTGCTCCTTTTAGTGTGTATTAAGCCTTTAACTAGATTTTGTCCAAATTATAGACTTTATTGACTTTAGTTACAGGTAAAACCATATTCACATTTTAATGTTATATCTTTTTTAAGTTGGAATCAGAGATAGTAAATAGTTTTAAGCAGATGTTCACAAGTTGTCTGTGAGCTTGCTTTATCTACAGCTCTTAGGAGATGATGAATGGTCCATACAGTGGGATGTATTATTGTGACCATGACTTCTAGCATCTTCCAATGATAAAGAACATAACCTACTAGAAGATACTTTTTGCTGAAATATCAGTTTATTCATCTATGCAATGATGAAATTAAAATAACTACTAAAATTGCAAATTAAAACAAGATACTGCTGCACTTCTGTTAGAATGACCAAAATCCCAAATACAGACAACACCAAATGCTGGTGAGGCTGTGGAGTAACGTGAACCTTCATTTGTTGCTGGTGGGAATGCAAAATGGTACAGCCATTTTGGAAGAGTTTGGTGATTTCTTACAAAACTAAACACACTCTTACCATGTAATCCAGCAATTGCACTCCTTGGTATTTACCCAAAGGAGTTGAAAACTTGTGTCCACACAAAAACCTGCACTTGGATGTTTATAGCAGATTTATTCACGTTTGCCAAAACTTGGGAACAACCAAGATGTCATTTCATAGGTGAACGGATAAACTGTGGGACCTCCAGACAATGGAATATTATTCAGTGCTGAAAAGACTTGAGCTATCAAGCCATAAAAAGACATGGAGAAACCTTAAATGCATATTGCTAAGTAAAAGAAGCCAAAGTAAGGACAGCTAATCTTCGACAAAGGAGCAGAGGGCCTACAATGGAGAAAAGAAAGTCTCTTCAACAAATGGTGCTGGGAAAACTGGACAGCCACATGCAAAAGATTGAAAATTGACCATTCTTTTTCACCACACACCAAAATAAACTCAAAATGGATCAAAGACCTAAAGATTAGGCCTGAAACAATAAGTCTTCTGGAAGAGAATATAGGCAGTACACTCTTTGACATCAGTTTCAAAAGAATCTTTTCGGACACTATAACTCCTCAGTTGAGGGAAACAATAGAAAGAATAAACAAATGGGACTTCATCAGACTAAAGAGCTTCTTTAAGGCAAGGGAAAACAGGATTGAAACAAAAAAACAGCTCACTAATTGGGAAAAAATATTTACAAGCCACTTATCTGACAAAGGGTTAATCTCCATAATATACAAAGAACTCACACAGCTTAACAACAAAAAAACAAACAACCCGATCAAAAAATGGGCAGAGGACATGAACAGACATTTCTCAAAAGAAGGTATGAATATGGCCAATAGACACATGAAAAGATGTTCATCATCGCTAATCATCAGGGAAATGCAAATCAAAACTACACTAAGATATCACCTTACACCCGTTAGATTGGCAAAAACATCCAAAACCAAGAGTGACAAATGTTGGAGAGGTTGTGGAGAAAAAGGAACCCTCATACACTGTTGGTGGGAATGCAAACTGGTACAGCCACTATGGAAAACAGTATGGAGATTTCTCAAAAAGTTAAAAATAGAAATACCCTATGACCCAGCCATCCCATTACTGGGTATCTATCTTAAGAACCTGAAATCAGAAATCCCAAGAGTCCCTTGCACCCCTATGTTCATCGCAGCATTATTTACAATAGCCAAGATGTGGAACCAACCTACATGCCCAGAAACTGATGATTGGATAAAGAAGATATGGTATATATACACAATGGAATACTACTCAGCCATAAAAAAAGACAAAATTGGCCCATTCGCAGCAACATGGATGGACCTCGAGGGTATTATGTTAAGCGAAATAAGCCAGTCAGAGAAAGATGAACTCTATATGACTCCACTCATAGGTGAAAGTTAGTATATTGAAAAGGAGATCTGATCGGTGGTTACCAGGGAAAAGGGGGGGTGGGGGGAGGGCACAGAGGGGGAAGTGGTGTACCCACAACATGACTAACAATAATGTACAACTGAAATCTCACAAGGTTGTAATCTATCATAACATTAATTTAAAAAAAAGGAGACTTCGAAATAATTAATCTAGGATTTTAGCACAACTTTGGAGGAATCGCGCGAGAATGAACAAATGCTCCAATTTATTTAAAAGAAGAAAT